CTGAAACTGCACTTTCCGAGACCACTTAGGTTCTAACGTGTGGGGATGAATTCCCTGTCGATGTACATAAGATATTTATAGCCATGTAGCCTGTATATATATAATGACAGTGGATCATTAGTTCCTACTGCGAGAAATGTGAGCATATGAAATCGTTCTCTATGAGGCTCTACATGAAAATTATATATTGAATCGTATTGAATCAAATGAAAAGAAAACTATTATTTCATAATCAAATTTTATTAAAAATTTAGAAGTATCGATACAGCTTAAGTAACAGTTTATAATAATATGTTCATCAATAATATAATAATACAATATTGTAATACAATCTCCTTAATACTAATAAATATAGTAATTTAAGTATGCCAATACTGACATAATTAATTACTTCAGTAGAAATTAAAAATACTAAGGATTATTAATGGAACACGCGTTTTTTTTATAATAAAATTAAAACAACATGACGAAAGTCCATAGTTTAGGGAATATTATATCATATATATTTAATACTAGTTGACCCGCGCAAGAGCCGAACCCATATAAAGTGGGATAGTGGAAGAAGAAGAAGAAGAAGTACGTTTTAAATTATAGCCTATGTGTTATTCTGATGTATAAGCTATATGACTGTAAAGTTTCATCAATATCAGTTGAGTAGTGTCTGCATTATAATAATAATAATTTCAGGACAATACACATAGCACCATCTAGACCTAAGTTCAGCTAGTTAGTAATAACTGATACAAATAGATTTTTTTTCGTAAATACATACATATTATACACAGAAAACACCCAGACCGCTATAAACAATCATGCTTATGAATACAAAATGTTTGTGCCTTGCGAGGAATCGAACCCGTTACCATCGAATGTAAAGCGGTGTGCTAAACCTCTAAACCACCGAGGTCGTCATATACATGCATTTATAATATTATATATTAGTAATATTTTACATAGATATGGCACTAATAAATATAGGTTATTTTATCAGATAAAATAAAAAAAAGAATGTAAGAGTAAGATAATGCAAAAACAATATTGATTAAATTACGAAATTGATTGAGTTTGTTTCATTTGAATTATCTTGTAATTGTATCAAAGTGCACATTTATAAAGAGTTTGCGTTGTTTAGAATTGTGTGAATACGTTTATAGTATACTAGCTACCCGCCCCGACCTCGCACGGGTGTACAATATACATGTATTATACATATTAACCATCATCTTAAAACACTATCTATATATTAAAATCAGTTGCGTAGTTTAAACGATCTGAGCGAAGAGACAGTGGAAGCGACTTTATTTTGTACTATGTAAAGATGTACTTAAAGTTATAAAAGCAGCGCAGGACCGATCGTCGTGGAGATCTTTAAGGCCTATGTCCAGCAGTGGACGTCTTCCAGGCTGCGATGATGATGATGATGTAAAGATGTACTTAACACGGACATGTAAATTTAATTTTTTTTTGTTTATCCTTAAAACATATATATATGTTAGTGATTATGTTATATATAAATAATGGAACGAAAATGGACTTAGGCCATGCTCATACCTACACTCAAGCACCGTCGATTCAGCGACTCATTACTTAAATTTATTATAATTAAACTATAAATGGATTTAAATCGAAATGGCATGATTTTATGACGTCCACGTCGGCTATAAATGTTAGGTCGTATGTTGGGTATTATTTGTTAATAATGTGAAAAATGGGACAATACGGAAAAAAATAATATGTATGTATTATAGTTTCATCGTTAACAACTTTCAACTATCGTTAACGTTTTTTTTGTGAAATTAAACGATAAAAAAGTATAATTAAATTTCGTTAACTAATTAGAGATCGTATAGATTTTAAATTTTTACACAAATCCATGTGAAATGTAATATAATTGTAAACCTCTGAAAAATAACTCGCAACAACATGGACGTCTTAAAATTTATTAAATGGCTGTCTCAAATTAATAATAACATGTAACTAAATTATAAAAAATAAAATATAAAAATATTTAATTTAAAACAATAAGTATTAATGGCACATATTTAGCAATAATACATTACAAATGAAAAAAAAGAAACTTAATTCCCTACAGTTAATAACACTTATAATATATTTTTTTTGGCACATTAAGAATTCACTGGTTCTTTGGATATTTATACATAGGTATATCTTAAAATACAAAATTAAGAATAAATGGCAAATTTAGAAGTAGAATACAGGCAATATCTTGAGAGATAGCTTTACTTATTTATATTGTAAACCGCGACTTAAAACCGATAATTTTATGGCCACTAGCTGACATATAGTCAGCTCGTGACCTCGCCTAGTGTAAACTAGTCGAAACGTCGAGAGAGGTAAATACCTCAATTTATCATAAAATAATTTTATGTTAAGCCCCTGTACTACTCGTAACAATAGAAATAATGAAACAATATTTCTATTGTTACGAGTAGTAAAAAATTAACACAAATAGATCAACTTTTTTTTATTGGGTTGTTTAGACTATTGTCAGGTGCCTGTAGCACCTGTAGCACTGCGGCCTACATAGATCTATTGTGCTCGCCCATTTTCAGAGTTCGCTACCTAGACCCGTCAGGGACAAGAATTGAAGCATATTCTTGGGAGCTATGGTTTTTATCTTCTCGGAAAAGAGTGTAAACTTTCAAAAGGAGATATTTCGTTTATGCAGTGTGGGCTACAACCGCATAGGATGTGTAGTGACGTTTCCTCTTCAGTTTGGCAAAATCTGCAGATTTTTGTTGTGCATAGGCCTAGTTTTGCCATATGTTTGTTTAATTTGCAGTGTCCTGTGAGGGGTCTAGTCATCATGCATATGTTGTTTTTACTCAATAGCAGTAGTCTATTGGAGTATTTGTTCGACTAGCCCGATAGCCTTTTGAATGTACCAATCCTGACATTTCCTGCCAGTGATAGATCAACTTTGTTACGAGATAGTTTAAAATAGGTAAAACATTAGAAAATGTAAAATTTCGTAATAATTAAATAATGCTCACGTAATGAGCCTAATTTAGGCTGACCTAGCCCACTTTAAAGATTTTTTATTAGATGAATAAGTCATAATAATAAGTATTATATTATATTATAATTACAATAATTAATTAATGCAATTAATGTAGGTTACTGACATTTGACAATTCAACTACTCGTTGTCTATGATCATAATAATTTGCTTTTAATTATAAAATTAATATACAAAAAGATTAAAATAAACAAAATAACTTAAAATAATGTTAAATGTTTTTTTCCTTTCTGAATAAAATTAAAGAAAAGGTATTAACACAACCTGGCCATCGGGTCAATAACAGATGTACATCTTTTTCTTATGGTGTGATTACTAAATCTAGCTGCGTAGGATATTTTACCAAGGTTTTATAAATTTTATTTTAATTTCCAGGACAATTCACACAGTGCCGGCTAGTCCCAAGATAAGCGGAGCTTATTATAGGCACTAGACGAGTGATACAAATACTTTATTTTTTTTTGTATATGATATACAATATATATAAATAAATAAAAATATATTTTTCTATATTATATCTGCATTTGTATCACCCAGACAGATACTAATTGCTCATGAATACAAATACTTGTAGCGCAAGAGGAATTGAACCCGCAACTATCAGATGTAAAGCGGTGTGCTAAACTGCTGGACCATTATCTACTGAAACATTTTAATGAAAATACCTAAAGAACTAAATCGAGCGCTATCAGAAGGGACTGACTGACTTACTTTGTTCAAAATTCTAAAACAGTAGTAGCATATCTATACGGTGGTACGGTTTATAAACTATAATTTATTTAAGGAACAGCTGTAGCAAGCAAATGTGTGTTTCTTTATGTATTTTTTTATTTTCCTACTGCACTCTTCTAATTTAGTCAAAATTACACAACTGCGAGTTAGAAGCAGTATGTGTTCTTTTAAGGCGGAGTATCATGTAGTTGAACGTAAAAGAGCCATAAAATCCTAAACACAAAAAAAATAACCTATAACTACTTATACGAATCAGCGCCATATCCCCAATAACAAGAATCTATATAATCTAAAAATTACTTGTTCATATCTAAATATACATATAAACCATCATAAGTATCTGTAATGCCATTTGGAGAGAGTATATCGTAATATCTAGACATTAATAATATAATAATAGTATATATATATGAAATAATAATCTTACAATTAAGTCAAAACACACAATAAAATTTTTCAAAAGTTAAAGTTCGAAATATACATTTCAATATCTTGATAAAACTTATTTTTAAAACTTAAGTCTAGGATTAACATTTAAGACAACAAAAATATAAATTTCGATGTGGGCATAAAAAAATGTACTTAACTGTATGCAATTAATTAAGTAATAAAAACTAATTAAAAATATTTAAAATTTAGTGATATAGGAGTTTATTTACTCCATTTTACGGTTAAAGTAATTTATTCATCTTAAACTGTGTACATATAACCACAGTATAAGTAGTAAATTAGTAAATATTTTTATTTGCACCGTAAATATATGTCTCTAAATATAAATATATTGAAACAAGTTTCAAAATTAAATTACCTATAGAGACAAAAATAAAACATTTAAAAATTACTTAAGTAATACTAAATTTGTATAATAATTTTGACATTTTTTTGTTCTCTTTGGGATAGCAAATGGTTTGGTTTTATAATATTTTGGTTATATAATTTATATATATTCATTATAACAAATATTTTTGCACAGTATTGATAGTTTAGTAGTTGTAATGAATTTTATTTCACATATTTTAAATTGAATACTAATAAACATAATCGCTTACTAATACTATATTGCCATTCATATTTTGGAAACTTGACTTTATAACGCTAATACTTTAGAGTCGAAAATCCAAATTCCAAATATTCCAAAATTCATATTTTTTTAATTATTGCAGTATTGTATTAAGGGTGCATAAAAAATAGGGATTCGCTTCAATGAAAATGAAAATCAAGTGTGCAATATTTGAATTGAAGATAAGTTAATCTAAGATACAGTATCTTGAGTCTATTTATGTCAGTATATACTCGTATCCTAGTAACTAAGATAATACTAGTTTTTAGTACTCGCGCCGGCAATAATACCCGAGGGAACGGCACTTCTGACATAGATGCTGAGGGTGAATCTTGGACTGGTCACTCACGTCCAACCCGTCAGGTTTCTCCAGTGGTCTCTGCAAGAAAATATAAACAAATATAATATTTTCATTTCTCTTTTTGTTTGATTGTCATTTCTCTTTCCTTCATGATTGATTTCTTCTTTTTTTTTGAAGGATAATATTGTAATGGTGCACTCGCCTGCACTAATGGTATACGCTAGCGGGGCACTAGTGGAGGATGATAAGACAACTGACATGGTATTTTCTAGCAATGAGATTATTAATCCACATTACTAACAATTCCTTTTCCCCCGATTGAGTTGTTCCTTCAGTCTTTCATGTAACTGGAATAGGAAACAGGCTGACTGCCTGATGGTAGTCACCTACATGGGGAAAGTGGATTGTTAGTAATGTGGACTGTTGACCCCATAGATAGCAATGTACCCGTAAGCTTCACATCCAGGCGGTTTCCCCTAGAAACTATTCTGATAAATTCCTGGTGAATTTATCGTGACGGACTAACTGATCTGAACTCATGTTCATCTTATTACCCTCAGTGCCTGTGCCGCGCCAGCGTAAACCATTAGCACAGGCGGATGCATCATTCCATTATCATCTATAAAATATTATTAAGTTTAATAAGATTTCTTAAGCTTATAGAGAGCGTACCTAGACTTAGGTGGTATAGACGTATTTTGCCAAAACCTGAAAACCACGTTGTGAAGAAGTGCCTTTTCATGGCAACAAGAGAACGAGGCAGAAAAGAGAACGAGGCATGCCGCTAATCTGGCTGACTAAAGTCCATAGGGGCATGAAGGAGAAGAGCCTGTCAAATGACGCTGCTTACCAGCGAAATGGCGCCTCAAGATTAGGAAATAACAGACCGACAAACCGGCCCCGTATAACAGAGTGGGAGATTGTTAGTAACGTGGTGTAAGAATCCCGTTGCTAGCAAGCAATATACTTTATCAGGTGGCTTCTACGTGATTCCCACTGGTAACCCTTATAAGTTCGATGACGAACAAGAAGAACTAGAGTACCTAACTAACTAGTTACCTGTTTATGCGGGAACACATTGATGCGGCACTTGATACACTCCTGTCCATTGTTGGCCCAGGAGTTACCACTCATCCACTTGCGCTTGCATTTAGGGCACTTGTATTCACCGAAGCATCGCTTCTTACCCTGGTATGGGGTTAACCCTTCGCCTTTAGGTCGAGCCTGTAACATACAATATTGAATGTTATACCGTCATACTCGTGAACAGGTGGTTTAGGTTATGGACGCTGGTAAGTGAGTTCTATTTAATTATATCATCATCATCATCATAGGCTCCCTGCAGTTCATTTCTGGACAAGGCACGTAACTGGGCACAATCTTCAACCCTTTTCGTCCGTCTCACGGGGCGTTTGACCATATAAATATATGTAATCTTTATTCATGTAATACAAATAGTTTAATAAAATAACATAATACATCACATTCTTTGTAATTTATTATATACCCTGAAATACCAGGAGTGTCACGAGCGCGATGCCGACTCTTAAAAAACCTTAATATACCCTTTTTGAAAAACCCCATGCTGTAGTCTCTCGAGAAAACCTCGGCAGGTAGTTCATTCTACAATATAAATGTACGCGGGGGGAGGAAACTTCTCTGAAACCGTTTGGGTACGAATTCCCTGTCCATGCCGAGCGATGATGGTAAAAGGTAACCGTGGGCATCATGTAAAAGAATTCTTCAATTGTTGCATAAACAATTTATCTACATAATAAAGTTACTTTGCGTAAATTAAATGTTCCCGTAATTTAAGCAAAATAAAAATATTTTGTATACATTAATCTTACTTATATCATAAACGCGAAAGTTTGTGAATATGGATGAATGTTTGTTACTCTGTTTTGCGAAAACTACTGAACGGATTATGAAGAAACTTTACAGTAATATAGCCAAGGGCGGATCCAGCTTTGGCGTCAGGAGGGGGTCACATAGTCGTGGTCAATTCAAGAACTAATAATTTAATTTTGATAACAATAGATACAAGTAAAAAGTAGGTATTTTAATAATGGACAAAGTTATTATATTATATTAAATTAATTAAATATTGAAGGTATGTAGTTGTCGAAGGTCTGTACAGTGTCAAAATATATAAATAAAACCATTATGTTCAATTAGTGGTCCACCTAAGTCCTAGAACCAAACCAGGGGGGGAGGTCATGACCCCCATGACCCCGCCCCCCTGGATCCGCCGTTGAATATAGCTTATATATTACAATAATACAAAAACTATAAATTTCTCGGCTAGTTATACATAAATTAACATCAGCAGTGGTCTGAGTACCTACACTATAGCCATCGCTATACCTAGGTGGTCGTTAATTTAATCATTGCTGACATTGTAATGTGCAATGCTTACATTTTTAATTGTAAGCTAATATTGTCAGTAGGTAATGGTAACATTATCGAGTGCTTACTCCAGTACATTTGAGATGAACGATTCTCGGTATTATATAAACATTCGTGAGAGAATTGCTGTAACGCAGGCAACTGTCCATAATATACATATATGACTAGCTTTTACCCTAGGCTTCGTCTTCTAAACTACTAGACAGATTTGAATGAAATTTGGTACACAGATAGATAATAACATACAAAATTAACATATAGTATACTCTTTACTTAAACATGGCAGCGTGGCATGCCGTTGTTAAAAAATAATTGAGTGTTCATGAAATTTAATTTATTTAAGGTTGATATGGGCTCAAATTAACAAAACATTTAAATTGTATGATTATATTAATTATTTTCCTTAAGGAACATATTATCAATATTTAGGTAAGGTCTCGGGTTACCGGATGAGATAAAGTACAATTTATATTATTAGCTAGTAAATCAGTACATTGTTTGTGTTCTTGGAACAAAGAAACAAATGTTTATAACAAAGCACTCGTTGTGTTCTAGTAGAAAGATAGACTATACTTACATACAGGAATAATACTCGTCGCTATTGTATACTGGTCGATACATTGACCAAATAAATAAATAAACCAAATTAATTTTAAATTTAGTAATAGATGAATATAGAATGATGCAACCGTTAAAAAATTATATATCTTATATATAAAATTCTCGTGTCACAGTTTTCGTTCCCATATCTACTCCTCCGAAACAGCTTGACCGATTCTCATGAAATTTTATATGCATATTCAGTAGATCTGAGAATCAGCTACTATTTATTTTCCACACCCCTACGTTATAAGTGATGTTCACCCCTAATATTTTATAAATTTATTTTGACATTTCCTTTATAAAGTGGCATTAAAAAAATTATATAACCCTAAATTTTCACCCTTCTACCATCAACCCTTGTTTTTAATAGCAATAATAGTACTTAAATTTATATTGCAAAACAACGTTTGCCGGTCCAGCTAGTGTATATATATATAGTATATTGATATATAGTATACTATATATAGCTTCACGACAAGACTAAAGGAAAAGGGGTACTTTTTACCAAAATTGTGCGGACAGAGGAGTATGAAATTTCGCACACTTATAGTGTGTTATATTATGTTATCTGTGCTTATAGTTTATATAGAGAAAGAGTACATAGTTTATTTAGAAGTGCAAAATGTTAATTTCTTTTTTTAAATTATGTATATAAATAGATTATATCAATAAAAAAATATCACACAATACGTGTGTGTATCAAACACACACGTTTTGTTTACTGCTTGTGCGACTGCCAGTGCTTGTGATTATAGTCTTTGCGAAGAACCTTAATAATGTTCATACTTATAATTTAATCAATATTGGCCAAATTTCGATCACTGGTACACATAAAATGTAGTTTTAAAAATGATTTTTTATACTTCTATTTTCAAAACATGCGCGCCGTATATTACAAGTAATTCGATTTTTAAATTTCCCAGATTCAAGATTATGTTAATTTTTTTTTTCTTTTGGCTCCGGTGGTTTGTGTTGCCATTAGCCAAAGATAATGTTAATAGACCATCATATGAAATAACGCTATTCATTCAATATCAATTATCACTGGCCAGTATTATTTATATTTTTGTTATTTATGAGTGCTATTCTTTATTTTTTAAATTCAGAATCATAGAATAGAATAGAATAGAATAGAAAATCATTTATTCAAATAAACTTACATTGAAGCACTTTTGAATAGTCATAACATTTTTTTTAATCTACCGTTCAGTCGGAATGCTGTCTCATCACAAGACGAACAAGCAACAAACTTGTGTGTTAACATAACATAACAATTAGATTTAAAATCCTCCAGATTATGATAATATAAGTACAATGATCATTATAGAAACAACGTGATGATCAGTCAATAGACAGTCTCTGGCTAGTATAATATAATATAGTATATATTTTAGAAAAATACAAATTTAAAAATTATAATAAATTATAATACGATTTTTAGTTCTCTAACCAAAATTACTTCTATTTTAAATTTATTTTTTATTCTATAAAAATTATTTATTTATTCCATTCATAATTTAAGAGTCGCGCTCTTGTCGGTTGATTTCTAGTAATTTTCCACAGTTCTCCATCAACCTCATTAGTTGTTAATATGACACTATTCCAAGTTTTTCCTCAATCTGCTTAATATAGCTGTGTCGTGGTCTTCCCTATCCCCTTTTTCCTTTGATAATATTATTCATAATTTCGTCGTGTCGTATCAAGTGCCCCAACATTTTCTAGCAAACAATTAAGCAATATGATTAAAATCACTCACCTGGGGGCAATCTCCAATGTAATGGCCTTTTTTGAAGCATAAATGACACATGTAAGCCGGAGGGGGTGGTCTGGGTGGTCGTCTCAGTGACAACGCAGTTAGCTGCTCGGCCAACGAGCTGGTATCGTCTGCTGGAGGCTGCTGGGCAGAGCCCGGCGTTGCAGTTGGTAGAGGTCCCCATACCGAGCCTGGCACCCACTGTAAAGTGATGAAGGAGAATGTGAGCGAAGGAACTGTATTATAATGCTACTAAATATTATTATGTAGACATAGTATAGAGTTGCCAACCCCAAATTAAAAAAAAACAGGATTTGTAGTTGGATAAATTAGAACATTTGAGTATAAAAACAGGACGCAATAATAAAGTTGCAGTCGTTAATTAACATGTAGTGAAAATTAGTGAACCAAAGTATTAAAATCCCAAGACGCTGCTTACAAGTTACAACCAATTCATGACGTCGCGTCGTGTACTAATACATGTAAAAACTAGGACATGTCTTGGGAAAACAGAACTGTTTACAACTCTAACACAGTATAATGTTAGATACAGACATCTAAATAAATAAACAATTTTAATAAACTGGCTGTAAAAAATACTATCGAATTAGGTAGATGGTAGGGATAAAATTAAAAATATCGACATTCATGAACGACTAACATAGGTTAGTCGTCCTACTTGAATAAATTATATTCAATTTGATTTTATTCCTAAAATAAAAGCCAAAATTACTCCGTAAATGATTAGCTATCTCCGAGTTAAAGCTCCGTCAAAAATAGTCCAGCCTTTGCAGAGATTAGCAACACAAGAATAAATAGGCAGACTAAAATAATTAAAATTAATTTGTTGATGTTAAATCTTATGAACGTATCATATGCATTTAGTGTTATGTGCAACTGTTAATTTGAAATTAAAAATAGACTTCAATTTTATTTATTTATAATATATACATATACACGAGCGTAACAAAATATTTTGTGATAACGGTGGTACAGTTCATATCTATCTATAGCTGTCTATAGTTCAAACTGTCATTCAGATTTGATACAATAAACTACATCATAAGTATCATTGTCATCAACCATCAAAAATTCAAATTGCTATAGTTTATTCACGGGTAAATATAAAAGTATTCCTAATTCACATTAGGTCAATTGAAATCGACGCAGTTTTGTATAGACCTTACGGTTTGGTGATAAGGTTGTTTATTTAGTGGCAGCTCGAGGCATGATTCACGGCGTCAACGCACGCGCACGGAATTGGACCGAAGTAATTCGTTAAACAGATGCGCGCGCGCTTCTCTGCCGCCCAATAGGAAAGCGTAGCCTGTTATTTACTGCGATTTTATTTGACTAATCTCCTCCGCGTAGATACCACATTGATTATGTTAAGACGGGTTTCCTACTGCGTATTAACTAAGTCCTCAAATTCTAAAATCATTTATTCATGTAGGACATTTTGGCCGCTTATGAACGTAAAATTTTTATATTATAATTTTTACCCTACCGTCCAGTTCAGTATGCAGATTCAATTGAGAAGAACTGGCAAGAAATAAACTCAATTATAACTCTTATTTTTTTAAGGCCCGTTTTATTTACAATGTTTACTTATATAGGTGTCTATGTCTAACATTAAACGAAAATCCCGTGCATGTACAAATATTGCCATGCACGCTCATTCAAGTCATCGTTTAGTGAGTAATAGGCTTTGCTCAGTAAATATGATTTAACAGATATTTTGAATTTATTTAAGGGTAATTCCAGTATATCCTTTGGTATCTTATTATAATTTTTTATACCCGTTCTTATAAAAGACCTATTGACTTTTTCTAAAAGACACTTGAGGCCTCCAAGTGTGTCTTTAGATCTAGTATTAATGTTATGAATATGGCTGTTTTTTGGAAATAAGTGCAGATTTTTGTTTACATATTACATATTCGAGTATATAAATTGAGAAGCAACGATGAGAATATTTGACTCTTTGAATTTCTCTCTTAATAAGTCACGACTACTCATACGCTAGTAGATCGCTTCGAAACATCTAATAGAAATATTTGAATTTGGAGACTGGACGTTTATTTTTTTTTTAATTTATTTCAGGCTACTAAGGGCCTATATTATAAATACCTTATAGACTAACACATATGTAATAATAATAGAAATAAATATAAATTGTGGTCATGGCATTAACGACGGTAATCTGCCACTGTAACGCCGATACACCACTCCTTTCGGTCAGTAGTCTTCCTTTATGAAGGTGGCTTTAATTTGTCTATAGCTGTTAGCTGCAACTGGTCAAGCTTTATATATTCTTTATTGCCTTTAAATACAATATTAGAAATATTTTGAGTAAAGAAGGATTTATTTCTGAACGAGATCTCTTCCAGTCAAGTTAAACAGCGTGGCACAGCGGACGAAAAAAAAGTACACTCCAAACCTGCGAAGGACTTATAGCTAACTCCTGCTGAAAGCTAACTCCTTTTTTTTTTGAGTGGAAAAATTTTCACACGATCGTCTTTCCACCAGTGTGGTTACTGTCGTAGAAATATACCTATTTATAAAGGGATATATGTTTTAATGGTAATGGTAGAGACTGTGAAGTAACATATACCTGTATAATTTTTGTTAAGAAATACAAAAGATAAACTTTAAATATATTAATATAAAAAGAGTTAAACTAAATTAAACACTAAACCACGTGTACCTACGATCTCAATTGCAGGAGTCGCGAGATCATGTTATTCTACCGCGAATTTTATTAGTCCGCGTGGAGTTTAACTTAATTTTTCTAAAATAAAAGTAGCCTAAGTTACTCCTTATTACATCAGCTACCTGCCAAAAGAAGTCTCGTCAAAATCGGTTCAGCCATTTCAGAGATTAGCCGGAAAAAACAGACAGACAGACAAAAATTGTAAATAATGTTATTTTGGTGTATGTACCGTATTTATATTCATATGCATGTAGTAAAAAACGGTTATATCAATATTACAAACAGACACTCCAATTTTATTTATATGTAAAGATGTATAGATTAGGTCCTTTAAACATTGATGGAAAATACATATTTATATTTGACCCAGACACACATATTCTTTTGTTTATTGTTAAAAATATACATTTATTATTGCTGGTTCAAAGATCTTTTTGTATTTTTTATTATGGTTGAATTTCGACTACGGCGCGACCACTAGTTTATATAGATAAAAAAATTCTTAAAAGTTACAGTATAGTAGTAGTCATATTCATGAAGAAACTAAAATTAGACGCATATATAGTGGGTGGGGTAATTTTAGACAACGTTACGTTGGTCGCACTCACCATATTCTATTTGATACTGACCGTATTTTCTATTTAGGACGTTATTTGCAAAAGGGGTTTTTTAAAATGCAAATTTTTTAATAAAAATAATAAAGGTATACCATACCATTATTATTACCCCGCCAGCGTAAACCATTAGGTTTACGCTGGCGGGGAACCAGTAGAGGATGATAGGATGAGCATGAGGTCAGGTCAGTTAGCCATAGTGCCAATTGAAATGGAATTTTGAAAATGAAAACTTATCTAATGATTTCCAGGGGGAACCGTGTGGAGGTCAACATAATCAAGGTCAACATAGCTGGCTATGGGGTTACTAGACTATATATGTATATTGCTGCTCGTGGGGAATAGTCAGTTCGGGTTACGAACACTGATTAGACTATTTGCTTTTGCAATAGCATATGCTGGTGTTCACTCTATTCTCCCAAATTTGAATTTGAAAATGAATCCGTATTATTGTAAACATGTACAGCATTTATTTGAAAAGAATACAAGCTGAGTTTCTTGTCTCTGTCAATTCTTCTCATCTCGTAATTCCGAACTGACAGTAGATTTGACATATCATAAGTATTAGACCTACTTCAATAAAGAAATTTATAATTTGAATATATTACTTTTTAAAATTCATTCATTTATTATTTATAGAGCATAACATTTACATAATTATATTCGCACTATCTGTAATATATCTTTTATCATTAATTTTATTTTAGTTAAAATATACCATATGTCAAAATGTTACGAAATCTAATGTAACGATGTCGTTACTTTCGATTTCATAATATTTGTACATTCTTTATTAAAGTAAAACAGCCATTTAGTGTGAAAGCTTACACACAGACAGATACACCTTCGCATTTATATTAGTTTAGATTACACTACCTACAGACTATCTTGATAAATTCCCTTTTTTTTAAATAATGTTTTATTCATGACCATGGATACAAGTCCTTCAGTCGACCACTTTATAGTTTCCCTCCTGTTATTTGTGTTGTTCAGTTGTTAGCAAACATTGCCAGTAGCTAAGTGATATTATTACGTAGAAATAAAAAAATAAAACTATTCAAAAGTCCTCATATAGATATTACGTTTGTTCGAATAAAGATTATTTATATGTCTACTATTTCATTGTAAAAAAATATAACACCATAGATAAAAAAAAATCTTAGCGATGTAAAATTATCCTTGTATTATTTAACATACGAAACAAAAACAATCGCGTGTAGGTACAGTAGAGTTCACTGCACTGTTGATTTCCCGCGTCCTTATCCGGGTATAAAAATATTATTTTTGTAATCACATATTTCTGCCATTACATAGTACGAGTATATTTTTTTGGAAACAGAGATGCAGTAGATAAATCTCTATTCCATTTTTGAATATCACAATTATAATTTTCACTATATTTTACACGTTTTAGCTAAAAATATATTAAATAGAGATTTGTGCAGCAGATATACTATTAAAATATATTAAAATAATAATGGTAGAAAAAGTGGCGTGATACGAAAATTACATCTTATGTAAAAAGTTCACGTGTCACAGTGTTAGTTACTTTACCCCTTGAAACGGCTTGACTGATTTTTATGAAAATTTATATGAATATTCAGTATGTCTGTATAGTATCTGGTATAAGGGTTGATCTAACATTTTTATTTTGGATTTTTTTTTTGTATTTATAATGTGGCCTGAAAAACACATACACCCCTAAATTTTCACCCTTTTATCACCGACCCTTATTTTTTAATAGCGATTTTAATTTATATGGCAAAACATCGTTTATGGGGTCAGCTAGTATTCTATAAAAATGTACAAAATCTTTGATAGCAGGCATTATACGTTTGTACTTTCAACAATATTGCCAGTATGCTGACCTATAGGTT